GAACCACCTTAGAATATAATAAAGCCTAAAAAATGGTCCACTCAAACAAAAGTCTCTTAGCTCACAGACTCATCACACTGGGAGATTACCACAGTATATAATTCTAAAATATATTTCCTATATATCTCTCAAAACTACAACACAACAACCCAGAGATATAAAAAACCAACAAAAAAAAAAAAATTGATTAGTAAAAAAAGGCAGAAAGCTTTTGGTCTGTTGGTGGAAAAACAAACACACAGCGTAATAAACCTTAAATAAGCAAAATTTGTCAGCATGCAAACACAAAAAGGTAATAAGCTATTTTTCAATAATTATATAAATGTTTTGTAGTTGGGAGAAAGAATTAACAGTTCAAATGATGATGAAAATTAATCGTTTGTTGCAAGCTCAACCTATATCATATCAGTCCATTGTTCCAGATTTAAGGCACTTCTAAGTTCCAGATCCAGAGTTGTTGCAGGTTCAGTCAAAAGGGGCAAAAACTTGGGAACTTTTTCCACAATTGGAACGCTAAGAATAAGCACGTGTGCCGTTTTTGTTTGGTCTATCCTGCATGCGGCGGGGACACAGGTTTTTCTACACCAAGGAGCAGTTCCTCGTTTTTTCAATTCTCCCTCTCTGAGCCGACTCTGGAGGTGGCCCTCTTGCTGCAGCACCGGTGCCTTAACTACATACACAACACACACATTCCTGTATTGCAAGACGGGGAGTGGGCAGTTACACACCCACACCCCAACAAACCTAGTGGGCAGCTCCTGGCAGACCAGACTGACAAGGTGATACAAAACACCTGGAACCAGGGTAATAAACAAGGTCCTGTTGCACAGAGGGGGCGAAACAAAATTCAGAAGGCCCAACCCACGCTAGCTACGCATAAACAACCCGTGACCGATCCTGGATTGGGCAAGCAGGTATAATTCATAGCAATCACGGACGCAACATAAATCCCATAACCAACCACTTCTGGCCACTCATGTCATCACCAAACGTTTGAAAAATCAAGCAGTTTCTCCAACTGCGGACGTTGTGTATGGGGAAAAAACCAAAAGCCCCAATATCACAAAAAA